GGTGCTTAGCCCAATGTCTACAACATTTTAATAGTTCAATAAATAATTGTGAAAGGAATTTAAAATAAACCCTGCTGAATGCTGTATTATTTTAATAGGACTAATTTAAAGTAGTTCATGCATCTCTGGGAGGCTGAGGCGGGTGGATTGCTCAAGGTCAGGAGTTCGAAACCAGCCTGAGCAAGAGCGAGACCCTGTCTCTACTATAAATAGAAAGAAATTAATTGGCCAACTAATATATAAAGAAAAAATTAGCCGGCATGGTCGCGCATGCCTGTAGTCCCAGCTACTCGGGAGCTGAGGCAGGAGAGATTGCTTGAGCCCAGGAGTTGAGGTTGCTGTGAGCTAGGCTGACGCCACGGCACTCACTCTAGCCTGGGAGACAAAGTGAGACTCTGTCTCAAAAAAAAAAAAAAAAAAAAAAAAAAAGTTCATGCAGATTTCTGAAAATGGAGTTAGAAGTTAAAGTGAATTATAATTCTGGTACAGGAATATCGGGTTAAAAATGACAGTAGGTACTGCACTTTTTTCCAATGCTTTTTTTTTTCTAAATTCTTTTTTTTTTTTGAGACAGAGTCTCACTTTGTTGCCCAGGCCTAGGAGTGAGCTTCCGTGCGCGTCAGCCTAGCTCACAGCAACCTCAAACTCCTGGGTTCAGGCAATCCTCCTGCCTCAGCCTCTCAAGTAGCTGGGATATCAGGCATGCACCACCACGCCCAGCTAATTTTTGTATATATATATATTTTTAGTTGGTCAATTAATTTCTTTCTATTTTTAGTTCCAATGCTTTTTGACAAAGACGATGAAAACAGTTGTACGGGTTGGTGGGAGAGTGTCTCAACGTGGCTGTGAGCATGGCTGAGTCATCAGAGGGTGAGGGAATAAAGGTGTTAACCTTAATTGTGTTAACCTTTCAGTTGTGACCAAGGTTTTCTTATATTTGAAAAATTTAATTCCTGGAATATGTGTATAAGTATCATCATTTAGAGTTAAGTGGCAGAAATATCCAGCGAATTCACCTGAAGTCAATTGAAACTTAGAATGCATTTTGCCTCAAATAGAAACAATGTTATATATGTTGAGTAGTTTGTAACTTATGACACAAGCCTATATGTGCACCCAAAGTGTAGTGCTATGACAAATGATTCTAATGTTGAATACCAGGAAAAAATCTTCTGCTACAGTAAGAACTGGGTCCCTCCAAAATACGAACCTGGTGCCCCTAGGGGCCCAGGAAAACCAAATGACCTTGGTAATGGGGGGGGGGGGCTATTGAGATTGAGATAGAATGTGGACTGGAAGCACGTATGGCCCCAAGGAGGTAAGAGGAGAGTGAGCCACTCCATGGGTTTATACATTATTCCTTCTCCCCTTTGTCCTGAATGGACTCTGATATGAGATGTAAAATAGGGATTGTCTGGACACCTGGGGTTCTGTCCTAGGGATCAGTTGCCCCAATCAACAGAGAGAGACATTTCAATCTAAGGCAACTGGAAGAGAAGGCGAGCTCATGCAGGCACTCAGCTTGGACAACTATGTGCTAAGGTGAGTGTGTGTGAGTAATTCAGCCATTTGAAAGCCAGCTGCTGCCTATATAGTCTTGGCACTGGCTCAAGAATGAATACTGACACGGCCCTGGTGTCTTAGGGTTTGCCTTGCTTCTTCACCACCTGGTGAATGGGGTATTCTTGTTTCCACAAAGCCTCTCCATCTTCTGTCCTTCCCTTGTCCAGACTGACTGTGGTTCTTACTTCAATTCATGGCGTCATTTCATTGCTGTGTGGTGGAGGAGGGTGGGGAGAGTATATGCGGCGAAAGAATGCAGGTCTATCGGGACCCTTTGGATTGCTTGAAAACTGGAGATGGCCATGGGGCTCTCTGAACTTGGGAATATTTTTTGAATATGGAGTGCTTCACGAATTTCCAGTCATCGTTGCACAGGGGCCATGCTGATCTTCTCTGTACTGTTCCAATTTTAGCATGTGTGCTGCCAAAGCAAGCACAGAAATTTGGAATATTTTAAATTCCTGAAGAGATGTGTGAAAATGGTGTGTCTGCCATGGCAGAGGAGTTAAGTGGGCTGATACAGAGGAAGAAGGGAGGAAAAGTTAGAAATACAAACCTAAGCCTGGAGGCAGTCTAGATAATAGAAATAAATGCAAATGCCTTATAAGAGGGTTAATTTTAATTGTGATGTAAAGAAGTATATTGCCAAGAGAAGGGGGTTTGTGTAATTCCCAAAAATAACACTGAGGATGTCACTGTTTCAAATGTATCTATAATTCCTGGGTTGGACTTGACTCTATTCAGTAGAGGAATAGAAGGACATTTTATTTTCTTTCATTTTTACTTTTTATTTTTTTTGAGACAGAGTCTCTGTTGCTTGGGCTAGAGTGTCGTGGCATCAGCCTAGCTCACAGCAACCTCAGAATCCTGGTTTCAAGCGATCCTTCTGCCTCAGCCTCCCGAGTAGCTGGGACTCCAGGCACATGCCACCATGCCTGGCTAATTTCTTCTATATATTTTTAGTTGGCCAATTAATTTCTTTCTGTTTTTAGTAGAGACGGGGGTCTCACTCTTGCTGAGGCTGGTTTCGAACTCCTGACCTTGAGCGGTCCACCCACCTTGGCCTCCCAGAGTGCTAGGATTGCAGGCACGAGCCACCGTGCCGGCCTGAAGGACATTTTAAAATGGCAGACTGTACTAGCAGGTGGAATGAATGCTTAATAAGGTAGAACAAGAAAGAGATGATGGTGTTGATTTTTTTTTTTTTTTTTGACAGGGTCTCACTCTGTTGCCTGGGCTAAAGTGCAGTGGTGTCATTGTAGCTCACTGCAACATCAAACACCTGGTCTCAAGTGATCCTCCTGCCTCAGCCTCCCGAGTAGCTGGGACTACAGGAACATACCACCAGGCCTTACTAATTTTTTCTATTTTTTATAGAGACGGGGTCTCACTGTATTGCTCAGGCTGGTCTCAAATTCCTGGCCTCAAGCAGTCCTCCTGCCTCAGTTTCCTAAAGTGCTGGGATTACAGGTGTGAGCCACCTCGCCCAGCTGAGTGTATGTTTGTGAGCAGGTAGCTTCATTTTAATCATTGACAGGCCGGCCTTCAGTAGGTTGCCACATGTGAGTTGTTTTGTTAGGGGCAGTGACAGGCAATAAACACCATGTCTTAGCTGTGTGTACACACGGGTTTCAAAGCTCTTACTGGAATGCTCACCCTCACCTCTCACCTTACCCCCTAACCAGAGGCAGCCACTTCAGAGCTGGCAGCCTCATTAAAAAACAGTAAACAAACAAACAAAAAAAACCAGTTCCAAAGGTTGAGACCAACCTTTGGAGTTTGAAGTTTGAAGTTAGCCTTTGCACCCTACGCTAGAACCTCTCTGAGTAACCTGAACAAGCATTTTCAAAACATTTCAGGACAGTTTTGAATGGCAAGGCTAGAGTCCTGTGAACTGGCCAGCGACTCTGAGGTTTTCAGAGCTCTATCAGCGGAAAGTCATGACGGCTGCGGATTTTCCTCAGGCAAAACGCACATCTCCCAGCCTGACCGCATAAACTGGTCACCTTTCCACTAGAAGTGACAGTGGATAGGATGCCGCGATGCTTTGGGTTACTCTGGAACGCACTGCACAAACACGGAGGGGATTCATAGTGGGGTGAGGCGTCCAATCGTCTGATAAAACCAAACACCAACTAAACCTCCTAAAAGGAAAGAGGCTAATTTGCTATACTTAGGTCTTTCTTTCTTTTTTCTTTTTTTAAATTTGAGACAGAGTCTCACTCTGTTGCCCAGGCTAGAGTGAGTGCCGTGGCGTCAGCCTAGCTCACAGCAACCTCAAACTCCTGGGCTCAAGCGATCCTCCTGCCTCAGCCTCCCAAGTAGCTGGGACTACAGGCGTGCGCCACCGTGCCCAGCTAGTTTTTGTGTGTGTGTGTGTATAAATATATATATGTGTGTGTGTATTTTTTAAGTTGGTCAATTAATTTATTTCTATTTTTAGTAGAGAAGGGATGTCATTCTTGCTCAGGCTGGTTTCGAACTCCTGACCTTGAGCAATCCTCCCGCCTCAGCCTCCCAAATTGCTAGGATTACAGGCCTGAGCCACGGCGCTGGGCCTGCATTTCTTAATAGAAGTAAAACTTCATCTCAGCTAGCTAACGAACGGCTTGTGGAGAGGGGAAATATGCGTACACCCTTTTAGCATGGAGCAATATGAAAGCAGCACTGGAAAAAACAGTGCACGAGGAACATCTATGTACTGCCTCGAATACTCTTTTGATCACACCACTCCTCGGCTCAAGAACCTCCCACGGTGGCCCGCAGGCCGGGCGGTTATGTGCACACTCGTCAGCCGCCCACTCCACGCTTCCACCTCCACGCCACAAGTCCCCTTCTTCCGTCTGCTTCGGCCAGCCAGTTCCTCCTGCTCTTCGGGGAATCTAGAGTGACAGTGCCTTGACCAGAGCAGTCGCCCCAGTCCAAGGGGAGGCCGATTTCCACTCCCGGCACCTGTTCCGCCCCCGCCCACACCTGCCCGCCACCCCAGCTGCGCCCCGTGCCGCCCTCGGTGCCAGCACTGGGCCCATCTGTCCCTCTCCGGCGGCTGCTGAGCGGGGGTCTGCGCCATCCTCCCAGGCTTGCGCACTCTTGGAGCCGGGTCTGCAGTGCCACTCGTGTGAAGTCCCGGGACAAAACCAGCGAAGGTGTGTCCCCAGGGATTCAACTTCCCAGACCCAGCACCCACGAGGCCGGGGCCGGCGGGGAGGACGCGGACCCGCGAGGCCCTTCCCTCCCGGGCGGTACAAACTGCCCAATGGGCGGCCGCGGCGGGGAGTCCGTCGGCCAGTAGCCGAGCGCGGGGCGGCCCCGGCCGGGCCCGGCCCAGTGGCGGGCGCGCGGGGGCGGCCTCTGTCCGGCCGCTGCCCAATGGGGCCCCGCGGGGAGCACGGCCGCGGCGCGGCGCGGCTATATAAGGCCCGCCGGCCGGCACCCGAGTGCGCGGTGGTGCTGGAGACCCGTAGCCCGTCTGCAGCCGACGATCCTCCGCACGGTGCGCCCAGAGGAGCAGCCATGGTGAGGGGGCCTGGGGCCCGAGCGGCGCTGGAGGGGCGGGACGCCGGGGCGGGTCCGCGGTCGGCGCCGGCTGCGCAGGAAAGGGGCGCCCGATGAGCAGTCCGGCGCGGGAGGGCTGCGCGGGGTGCCTGGGTGCTTGCGGGCTCGCGGCGACAGCGGGCCCTGCAGAAAGCCCGGGGACGCCCGAGGAGTTCCAGCGCTGCTTTCCTACGCTCCTGCCCTGCGGGGCCGACGCGAGCTGGGGAGGTTCCGAACGCTCCCGGCCGGCGGGGCGCGGGGCCGGCGCGGGCGGGACGTGGCGGGGTCGCTGTGCGCTGCGCCAGCCCGGGGAGCGCGCTCTGGAGTCCGCAGGCGACGTGGGGCCCGCCCCACGGCTCCCCCGCCGCGGTCCCGGACAAAGAGGTGCCCGCCCCTAGCTGCCGTCCCCGCCTCCCTGGAGGCCTCGCTCCCGCGCAGGAGGCAGAATTTGGGATGATTAGCGAACTCCGGCAGGTTTCTGCAGTTCAGAGCGGCGCTCCCCGAACGCCCTTTCTCGCGCGCTGGCCCTGGTCGGAGGTCCTCGCCCTTTGGGCCCCATGCTTGACCAGGGCTTTCCGTAAGCTCTTGGCGCCTGGAAAAGGATATCCTGTTCTCCACCTCGCTCTTCTGATGCCCAGGGACTTGGGGGTCTCTCAATTAAAACTGAGAACTTGGGGTGTGTTCACAGAGGTCCCTGTGCCCCCCCCCAGGAGTATTTTAATTCCCACCTCTGTTCTGAGTCCCTTAAAGGCGCTGAGGCTGGCTTGGAGGATGGTTCCTAAGACTGCTAAACCGTTGCATACTGTCCTCCTCGAAGACCCCTTCTATGTCCAGGAGGTGCTCAGCCGTTCCAAACTGATCCCCTGTGGGTTGGGGGTGAAGGACCAGAAGAGGGGAGGGAGGGTCTACCCGTCATAGGAGTTACCTGAGTGAGAGGCAAGGTGAAGTGGGTCTCTGGGCTCCACTGTGTCCCTCGAGGGGTACCTGCTTGGATTAAGTTTTCTGTACTGCAGGTGTCAGGGACAGGTGCCCAGGGTAGGTGCATGTCCCCTCAAAAGGGGGCGTTCTGGGTGAGCTCTCAAGAGGCTGGCTCCAACTCCAGGCTGCTTCCTCAGTCCACAGGCCTGCACTTGGTCTCCTTTGCCTTCAGAGTGGGAGGGTGGACAGAGAACCGCTGCTGTGGGAGACCTCCCCCAGGCCCCGGTGCTGGAACCTGGAAGCTCCCAGTGGGCCTGTCTCCGGACACAGGACGCTGGTCTCTCCCGAGCCACCCCTACCGACAGGGGGCGCTCTGCAGTGGGATTTGGCTGCGTGGTTTTGCTTTCTCTAGTTCCTGCTCCAGAAGACCTAGGCCTAGCCGCTTTCTTCTAGAGCCCTGATGAATAAAGGAGAATGAGGGTCTGGAGGTGGTTCTGCTTCAAGTATGGGGAGGAAATCCTGGAAGGAGAACCCAGTCTTCTGGGTTTCAGACTAGGCAATGCCAGGTTTCAGCCTTCAGGGAGGAAAGACGAGGGGTGCTCCCAGGGAAGGCTTTGCAAGCCCCCACCTCCCTCCCCACACTGCTCATGGCACGCCACCCTGCTCTGTTCCCGCCAGCGAGAGTGCATCTCCATCCACGTGGGCCAGGCCGGGGTGCAGATGGGCAACGCCTGCTGGGAGCTCTACTGCCTGGAGCACAGCATCCAGCCCAATGGCACCATGCCCAGCGACAAGGCCCTGGGGAGTGGCGATGACTCCTTCAACACCTTTTTCAGTGAGACGGGGGCCGGCAGGCGTGTGCCCCGGGCTGTCTTTGTGGACCTGGAGCCTGCTGTCATAGGTGAGTGGGTGGGGGGAGAGAGGTGTCCCCCTCCCCCCAGCTCATATTTTTTTTGCCAGCCCAAAGTCAGCGGGTTGCTCTGCTTAGGGAGGAAACACTTGGAATGCAGGCCGTCCCCTGCCAGGAATAACACTCAAGCCTGCAGTCTGTTGCTTCTGTCTAGACTCTGTCTCCAGGAGGGGTCCTGGGGCTTCCTGTGCTGAGACGGAGCTCAGTCGCACAGCTCTGCCCAGAAACTGCCAGATACTGGAGTCAAGGATCAGGCCGAGAATGAAGACTGCAGAGGGGAGTGGATGTGATGGCAGAAATTTTAAAATTCCTTTCCCCACACTCAGACTCTTGAGAATAGCATTGCCTAAGGAAGTGGGAGCTCAGAGCATTCACGGCGGGCCCCTGCTCGGCCTGAACTGAAACAGGCCCCTCGTAGGATGTGGGCCCTGTGAACTTGGCTGTTGCTGGCCCCATGGGGGCTTTTCTGCTTCCTCCCTTCTGTGTCCAGTGCTCCTCAGTTTCCTATTCGTGAAAACTCTACCTTCCCTCATCTTCTTAAAGATATTTATTAGATGCTAAGCTGTGGCTAGGTTTTCTGCATTCATCTATACTCGTGTTTTGTTTTTTGTTTTTTTTTTGGTTTTTTTTGAGACAGAGTCTCACTCTGTTGCCCAGGCTAGAGTGAGTGCCGTGGCGTCAGCCTAGCTCACAGCAACCTCAAACTCCTGGGCTCAAGCGATCCTCCTGCCTCAGCCTCCCGAGTAGCTGGGTATACAGGCATGTGCCACCATGCCCGGCTAATTTTTTTTATATATTTTTAGTTGGCCAATTAGTTTCTTTTTATTTTTAGTAGAGACGGGGTCTCGCTCTTGCTCGGCCTCCCAGAGTGCTAGGATTACAGGTGTGAGCCACCGTGCCCAGCTTCATCTATACTCTTACCCCAATCAAAAGTGAAGTGAGATTCCCCTGAGCTCCCCTCGGATTCCTCACCAGGCACGATGAAGTGGCTGTGATCAGCAGGAAGGGGCTGTAAAAGGTGCCCCTGACTTTCCCCCTCACTGCCCAGGCAGGACCCGGTGTTAGCAGTGGGCCTGCAGGATGCCTCGTGTCCGTCCCTGGGGAAGCTTAGCAGAGGTTCTAGAGCCTGTGCCGTCTTGGGGAGTGAGAGCAATCTCTTAACCTTGCCCCCTTTCCCGTCCTCAAGATAGGGTAAGAACTGGCCTTTATAGGCAGCTCTTCCACCCTGAGCAGCTGATATCTGGCAAGGAGGATGCTGCCAACAACTACGCCCGCGGCCACTACACCGTGGGCAAGGAGCTCATCGACCTGGTGCTGGAGCGGATCCGCAAACTGGTGAGCAGGCGCCCGCAGGAGGTCACTGCGCCCTTAGCTCCCTCCCTGGCCTGGGAAGCTGAGCATAAGTGAGAAGACAGGAAGACCGCAGCCTGCAGCTGCCACCTAACACCGTTTCTCTGGCCTGTCTGTCCACTGGCCTTCCCCTAGGGGGCCCCGTGTGCCGTGTCCTGGGTGTGGATCTGGGGTTGGAAGCCTGAAACACCTGCTCTGCCCTGAGTCTGTGGACTGGGGCTTCTGTCCTGCTGGTGCCTCGCTTTGCCGGGTCTGGTTGTCTGATCCTAGCCTACTTTGATCCTTCCCTGTAGCAGCTCGGCATGTTGTTCTTAGGCTCCTCTGCAGAACTTTTTCCAGCCGGGAGAGGCTCCTGCTTAGCCCTGACCACTTCTCCCTTTACCCTTCCCCTGTGTGAGGCACTGAGAACTGGGAGCCACCAGCAGTTGGCACCGTTGCTCTAAGGGGTTGTCTGAACACACTCTCCACTGCTCAGTAGGGACTGGCGGCTGGAGTGACCTGAGGGCTAGGATTCTGTGCTCTCCTGCTCACAAACAAAAAAAAGTGCTCCCTAAGGTTAGACCTTTCTTATACCCATGTGTCTGGTATAGGTTGATGTTTTTCTGGTTCAAAGAACAGCTATATCAGAATCACTTAGGGGGCTTTTTTTTTTTTTTTTTTTAAAGACAGAGTCCAGCTCTGTTGCCCGGACTAGAGAGCCATAGCATCAGCCTAGCTCACAGCAACCTCAAACTCCTGGGCTCAAGCAATCCTCCTGCCTCAGCCTCCCGAGTAGCTGGGACTATAGGTGTACACCACCATGCCTGGCTAATTTTTTCCATATATTTTTAGTTGTCCAGCTAATTTCTTTCTATTTTTAGTAGACATGGGAGTCTCACTCTTGCTCAGGCTGGTCTCGAACTCCTGACCTCAAGTGATGCACCCACCTCAGCCTCCCAGAGTGCTAGGATTACAGGCGTGAATGTGCAGGTTCCTGGTGCCAGTGGGGGGGGGGGCTGGAAATCTATATGTTCAACAGGATGCCACCCCCGCCCCCACCGTCCTGCAGCTGGGTGGCAGAGCAATAGGGCTGAGAGGGCCAGCGCTGAGGCTGATCTGACGTCCTGCCTCCCCGGGGCACTCCACGTACGCAGCGTGGCCTTTCTCCTCCGTCTCCCAAGAACTCCAAGCCTCTTGGAGGTGTTGTTCTTTTTTCACCTCTGTAGAGGGTGAAGCAAAAGGATGTGAGGGGACTTTGAGGGCGATGGAAGTTTCTGTATCTTAGCTGGTTTGGTGATATGCTTGCCAAATCATTCGTTCTGCATAGAATACACTACACATGTGAGTATAAATTATACTTCAAAGTCTTTTTAAAATACAGAAGTAAGTGCAATTATACTTTGGTAAGAGGAGCTTTCCAGACAGAAAAGAGCTCTGCCAGAAGAGGGGTGGGGACAGGCGACCTGCCATGTGCATCCCTAACGGTGTTGTTCCCTGCTCTAGACGGACCAGTGCACCGGGCTGCAGGGCTTTCTGATCTTCCACAGTTTTGGGGGCGGCACCGGCTCGGGCTTCACCTCCCTGCTGATGGAGCGGCTCTCTGTTGACTACGGCAAGAAGTCCAAGCTGGAGTTTGCCATCTACCCAGCCCCCCAGGTGTCCACAGCGGTGGTGGAGCCCTACAACTCCATCCTGACCACCCACACCACCCTGGAGCACTCGGACTGCGCCTTCATGGTGGACAACGAGGCCATCTACGACATCTGCCGCCGCAACCTGGACATCGAGCGCCCCACCTACACCAACCTCAACCGGCTCATCGGCCAGATCGTGTCCTCCATCACCGCCTCGCTGCGTTTCGACGGCGCCCTCAACGTGGACCTCACGGAGTTCCAGACGAATCTGGTGCCCTACCCCCGCATCCACTTCCCGCTGGTGACCTACGCGCCCATCATCTCGGCGGAGAAGGCCTACCACGAGCAGCTCTCGGTGGCCGAGATCACCAACGCCTGCTTCGAGCCTTCCAACCAGATGGTCAAGTGCGACCCTCGCCACGGCAAGTACATGGCCTGCTGCATGCTCTACCGAGGGGAAGTGGTGCCCAAGGACGTGAACGCCGCCATCGCCACCATCAAGACCAAGCGCAGCATCCAGTTTGTGGACTGGTGCCCCACAGGGTTCAAGGCGAGTTGGGGGGAGAGGGAGGGATTAGCACGTGACTTACGTACCTGCTCGAGAGAGGCAGGTGTTCTGAGGAGCTGCGAGGCGGGAAGGGAAAGAACGCTCCGCGGATGGCGATGGAGCAAAACAGGCAGCTTTTAGAGTCGCATCCGCCATTTTTAAAACTAAACTAATATTTAAGGCAGGGTCTTGCTCGGGCTGGAGTGCAGTGGTGGGGATCATAATGCACTATACTCTCAGACTCCTGGGCTCAAGTCATCCTCCCACCTCAGCCTCCTGAGTAGCTAGGGCTATAGCACGCAGCAGCACACCAAGTTTTTTTTTTTTTTTTGAGACAGGGTCTCACTCGTTTCTATTGGCCAGGGCTAGAGGTGCCGGTTCAGATCAGCCGAGCTCAAGCAGCAACGTCCAAACTCCTGGGCTCAAGTCAATCCTCCTGCTTAGCCGCCGAGTAGCTGGTACTACAGCATATGGCCACCATGCCCACCTAATTTTTTCGTATATATTATTAGGTGACCAATTAATTCTTTTCTTATTTGATATAGAGACAAGGGCGTCCGCTCTTTCTTCAGGCTGGTTTTGAATCCTGACCTGATGCGATCCTGCCCAGACGGCCTGAGGGTTACAGGCCTGAGCACCGCACCGGTCGAAGTTAAATTTTTGTTTTTTTGGAGCGGAGTCGTCGCTTTGTGCCCCAGGCTAAGGTGAGTGCCATGCGCATCAGCCTAGCTCACAGCAACCTCAAACTCCTGGCTCAAGCGATCCTCCTGCCTCAGTCTCCCGAGTAGCTGGGACTACAGGCATGCGCCACCATGCCGGGTCATTTTTTCTATATATATTAGTTGGCCAATTAATTTCTTTGTATTTATAGTAGGAGACAGGTCTCGCTCTTGCTCAGGCTGGTTTCGAACTCCTGACCTCGAGCAATCCGCCGCCTCGGCCTCCCAGAGTGCTAGGATTACAGGCGTGAGCCACCACGCCCGGCCTAATTTTTTAACTTTTTGTAGAGATAAGGGTCTCCACCCTATGCTGCCCAGGTCTGTTTGAAGAACTCCTGGCCTCAAGCAGTCCTCTCAAAGTGCTGGAATTACAGGCATGAGCCACTACACCCAGCCTAGAGACTGTCTTTAACTTTGATAGATCTCAGCCAGTCTAGGAGCCAGGCCTTTGGACTATAAGCCAGGATGGATTCTACTTGGAAGATTGCCTTTATGAGAGGAAAAATATCAGTTTCATGTTGCTTAGCCTGGCGATAGAGGCATTTCCTGGGCTTGCCAGTCAAGGTGGGGGGAATGGCCTCCTTTTCCCGCGTGCTAGGCATGTAGCCACGTGATGTGGCTGCTGCTCAGGAGGGAAATGCTTTTAGCAGCACAGAAAGCTCGTCAGATGCGGGGAATGTGGGGCAGCAGGCCCGTGTTCTGCATCTGTGAGTGCAGCCTCTTCCCTTCGCAGTGAAGAGGAAGGACTGGTTTATGCCCCACCCTGTTATCTATCCGTTCACATTCCCAGGGTGTGGCGCACATGGCCTAGTTTAAGTTTTATGAGGTTTGTTCCAGGGTAAGACGCTAGAAAGATTAAAAGCGGCAGATGTGACATTAGAAACATATACAGACTGGGTGCGGTGGCTCCTGCCTGTCAATCTCAGCACTTCGAGAAGCCAAGGCAGGATTGCTTGAGGCCGGGAGTTCTAGACAAGCCTGAACAACATAGCAAGATCCCTGTCTCTACAAAAATTTAAAAATGATCTGGGCATGGTGGGGCGTGCCTGTACTTTCCATCTACTCAGGAGGCTAAGGGAGGAGGATCGATTGAGCCCGGGAGTTTAGAGCGAGCTGTGATCATGCCACTGCACTCCAGCCTGGGTGACAGAGTGGGACCCTGTCTCTTGAAAGAAAGAAATGAAAAAGAAAAAAAAAAAAAACTAGGTAGGCTTGTCTGCCCCTGTGAGCACTGCTGCAGGATGTACCCACAATGGCAGGGGACGAAGGGAGGCTAATGGCGCGTCGGGGGGAGGCAGGGACCCCTGGTCATAAAGACAATAGCTGCCTGCTAGCGTGGAAGAGCTGTCCTGCAGCCCAGCTAGAGACGAGCGGTAGGATATCCGGGCGGCAGACTGTTTCTGCCTCCATATTAGGAAAGTTTTGAGTTTTAGCCACTCAAAGGAAGAATAGGCCTTTAGGAAGTAGTCATCTGTCTCTAGAGCTCTAGAGGCATTAATGGGAAGTTGACCGTTTTTTTTTTTTTTTTTTGAGTGGAGGGAGAGAATACTGAATATGAAATGTATTTATAATCAA